TTCAAGTCTTTGTTGATTCGAACACAAAAGTCCCATCTTTACCGCTGCAAAACGTGCTCAGTTTGACTAAAAAACGTATGCGAAGCATCATTGGATGCCTCAGATTCAAACCCTAAAACACTCAAGTACCCAGGGTTATTTGTAGCCGTGGCTTTCAGTGTGAACGAATAACATATGGGTACTCACGGTTCTATCTACGCTTGACCGGGTTAAAATAAAAGATGTTTGAGTAATCCGTTTAAACGGAAACAAGAACTCCACCATGCCAGCAGAGTGAATGTCCACAAGGGTTGACCCTGTAGGCGGAAACTCGAGAAAAGAATCTGAAATCCATCCGGTGAGCCTTTTCAAAACCTCACTCCAAGGGACAATATGAATGACGTCACCCAGAGGTCGTATCAATATCTTGACCAGCTGGCTTTACAGAATACACGATTCTCGCGATAAGAGTAAGGGAATACTCTGAAAATGGAAAACGAAATAATACCTCTCCAGGTTGGTTCACTTTTTGTTGCTCAGCGAATTATCACGTGGCACCAATCGACAAAACAGTAAGCGTTCGAGCACAATTAAGTTTTTTCGACAAAACAATACACTCGAACAGTAGTTCCTTAGACTTTGTTCACTTAATTGAGCGAAGGACTCCGGATCTAATAAGGTGAGTCGCAGTTTCGTAGACTGGCCAAAATACCCGACTGAAAGAAGATAGTATACCACCACTCTCGTATAACATCTGGGTGCTTATTGCTTTTACCGGTTCATTTTCGCTACGTTTTATTATCCCGGTAGAAAATATGTGGTTTTAACACCAGAATTCCAAAAAGAGTATGCTTACTGTTTCTGCCTGGTCAGTTCGATCTGAATGAATGCACCCCCGAACTCAGTGGGAAATCCAGATAGAACAAACTTACCTCAAGCCATGTAAAACGTTTAAAATAATTGTTTGTTTACTTTCGTTAAAGTCCTCAAACCCTTGGATGAAACCTGGTTCCGAACCCGATCACATAAATCTAAGATAAAACTGCTGGGTTGCGTCGGTTGAAATATTGAGGATAACATAACAAAAAACGTCGTTTGATATCGCTATTTTCTTTATATATATGTTGTCAAAACAACTTTCTTGGCTGATTATAAAGAAGGGTGCCAGGTATAAAAACATCACCAAATCGGTTAAATTTCATGTGGATATGTGGCCCTGATCGACAACATCACAGTTAAACATTGGATTATTTGATTAGTACCGAATTTCACTGTTCTCCGGTCAGCTGAATGTGTAAACTTTTTTGAATCAACGGACGCAAACGAAGTGATACAGGCAAAAAGATAACCAAGATGCTAAACGACCCATGCAGATAGTCCAACTGAGTGTTCCGATAAAACCAGCCTGTTGATAAATGAGTGCCACTAAAATTTGAATAGCCGTTGATTGTCAAATAAAACGAAATTAGTGCGAAAGCTCATCACAGTATGTTGACGCCTAACGCATCCTGTTTTATTGTCATCACGATGACACACTCTCACAGGAATTTGAAGAACATGTATTCCACTTTATTGTTAAATAAAACAGGTGGGAAATTCGAATGCAGCACAAAAGAGACAAAATAAGTCTTATTTTGCAAACTAAATGTGTATTGTTATCATCGAAATAAGAACGTCAGCTGTTATTGAAGAATCGGCCACACCAACATTCACCCTCTGCTGGATATCTCTGCACCAGAATCGTCGACTAACAAAAGTTTATCAACCAGGTTTCCCATAAGACCACCATAAGGTGACTCCCACGAATCCGGTTGGTTCATCCACTCACAATTGCAAGGGAAAAATAGTGCGTAAGATATTGTCTTCGATGGTCCTTTGAAAGCATTCAACGGAATGCGCACACCAGTGGCTTTATTTCGCCCGTGGAAAAATTTAAAACTTCTTTTTGGATATTCGGCTAATCGTTTTCGTCAGCAAATCGCATTGTGGTCTGTCTTAGACTTTCTCATTTGTTGATTTGAGCTGAACACACGCGTCAATCCGAGGAAGTTTTGGGCGTCGACCCGGGTGGTGGAGGCTTGAAACTAAGCTGCGGACGCGCCTGCCCTCAGATCAAATGCAATCGCCGCAAGTGACCTCACAGGCCTAGTGCCAGAGCTCACCTCATTAGGACAGACTAGTGGGTAAGCAAACTTCCGCATCCATCGCTCGCTACGGTCACTTCTGCGAAACAAATGTAATGCGAGACCAGCTTTTCGGTGGCATGGCTGTAGTATGTTTTGGTCGAGCGCTGATTAATCAGTCGTACATCGGTTATTTAGCGGTTTAGTGGTTCTCGCAGACTATCCTCTTGATTACAGTTAATGGATGCACAGGTCGGAATCGGTTCTGCGAGAAAAACCATTCATGTGCGCAACACGGAATCCTCATTGTGCGCGTTTCTGGAGTACCTGAACGCTAATCTATCACCTGGTGTCAAACTCATTCAGTGTGTACATCGAGTTGCGCGCATATTCTCACGAATCCAGAATGGAGAACAGCTAGCCAAATTGATACCATTGGGGCAAGGCCTGTTGAAATCCTGTCAAGTAATTCTGGGTTTACTCCAGCGATTGTGACATCCACCGACCGTGTAGGCACAAGCTGATGATAACCAGAATGAAAGCCCTATAGTAGAATTCTTTCAAATGAAGCAATATTTTTATCTTATTAGGATCATATTTTGTCAATGGTTATTAATCAAGAACGGCAACACATTCATCATTTCACATAAATGGTTGGGCAACCGGAAGTAGAATTTATTTGGTTCACTTAGCTATTTCTGTGTGGCTTTGGAGGAACGCTTGACCCTAAAGCAAGGGTAACGGTGAGGAAAAGCTACCGAGCAGCTTGGGGATATGCCAAAGCGCTTTTGATTTCACAACGATAACGATAGGTCCATCACAGTTTTGCTAAGACGCACATTCTACAGGTCGTTGCGCGTAGACGGTGAGTGCAGTGTTTTATTTGTATGCTCAAGACTGTCATATACGGCGGAATGAATATTACGCTACAGACTTGGCCGTTTATCTTAGAGAACAGATAATAAACAAAATGCAACAAACATAATCGTCCAACATTTTTTTGCCTATACATATGGCAAACCCGGTCGCGAAGGCCCAAGTGACACCAGTATTGTATCTAGTATTTAATCTCATGTGTTCAACGTCAAAGAAGGTGCATTTTCACATTCATATCAAGTACGGAATACCAATGCAAAGTGGTCGCGTTCAGTTCGGCAATATCATCCATGATCTACGGGGGAAGAGAAAGGTGCGATAAAGATAGCGCAAAGATCACAGATAACGGAAGACAAGTGAGCAACCTACCGGAGAAGTGTGAACCACAAGAATGGCAAAACGAAATAATGTTCGGCTTTTCGTACTATTCAGACAACCACCGCGTTTGTTTGTGGTAATGCAGTACGGCGTCGTGTCGTAAATGCCGACGAGGACTCGGACTACCTCGGATAAGTTGGTCAACATGGAACAGAGCCAAACAGAGAAGCGCGTTTATCGTCACTCAGCTTGTCTTAGAACTAGATGCAACGTATTCTAGTAATTTTTGATATCCATTGTCACGTACCGATATAGTTGCTGACAAGCGCACTTCTGGATATATATATATATATATATATATATATATATATAGTCACAGAAGCTTTAACTTTAAACCAGTAAACAACGAGCGAAAAAGTGAGTACTTTGTATTAAGGTATCCAGGCAAATTTGACGAGATTTCTCCAAAGAATTCTTACAAAAGAATGTTAAAATGAATATAACATGATGCACCAAAGTATCCATACACGAGCATAAAGCTTTCTAGGTTTCTTCTTTTTTTGCACACGGTAACTTTGAAACAGGTTTTCTGAGTGATCAATTTATGGACGCTAACCAATGCTTAAGTATTTTCAATATCATCATGGTGAACTTGTTTCTCATAAAATCAGATGAACCAGTTTCTGACTAGTTGAATTTTATGTCACTTATATTGTCATAGATAGTCCCAAACCTTCCGACGAAGTAGTGAAACGTGTAAAAAGTTAACTTTTGACTATCGCCTGGGCCTGGTCTACCAATACTGATTAGGCGATTTCCCTAAAGTTGTATTCATGATATCATAACGTTGGAACTGGTGCAAAGAAAACAAAATAATTAAGAGCGAGTCCTTGTGGTAAAACAGTGAAGTATGTAAGATCACAAAACAATTGGCGCATATTTACTCAAGAAGGCAAAGACATGACGAAAGCGGCATTAGTATCTCGGCCTGGTTACATCTCACAATGACCTGAAAAGTTAATCGGAAAACTGTCTCAGCAACTGGCGAAGTAAGTTTGCCTGAAGCGAGAAAATGAAGTTGAGTTTCGGTTGTGTGTATTTCGAAGAATCTAAGGTTTTTCAATCATCTTGTCGGTATCTTTCAGTTTGTTAATAGAATTTGGTTTGTATTGGGCAAGAAAGTAAGGCTTCCTTTCCACCGATAGGTATTATCCCTGTTTCGATAGTGGGTGTATTATTTGACCTTGTACCGGCAATGGATTCCTAAATATTTGTGAGATCCCCATCATGACAACTTCCTTGATATCAACAACACCTTCGCACTCTGATTGGAAAATGTGACTGAATACCCTAAGTTCGGCGCACAGTTCTTGATATTCATGCATCTTTTGCAATGTCTCGAAAATCGTGTCAACTGAAACATGAGCTGGACTTTGTACAACTCATTCACTAGATAACTATCGACAAAAGGATTCATTTGAGTCGCTCGTTAACAAGTAATGTAATTTGTAAATAAGCGTGTTTTGTCAGTGCCTCACGAATGTTCGTTCAGGTCCTAGCGTCAGGGTGGGCTGTATAGTTACCAATCTGTGTGAGGATATGATTTTGGTCTAGCAGGATATTTGAGGTGCAATACAGATGATGGTGTCTTTTGACATGTCACCAGCATTCAGATCAAACGGAAGGCAAAATGTCTTGATGAGGTTGTTTTATCGTATAATAAAAATGCGTACATAAACATCACATTGACATCTAAATAATGAGAAGTTTTCAAAAATTTTTGCGGAAAATATTAGTAAAATTCAAGGGAATCAATCAGTTTCACGTTAGAATAAGACTGGCTAGACGATTTTTCTCCAAAAACGATGACAAGGTACGAATTACGCAGTCAATTCCAACATAAGAAAAACACGCAGGCAAGGCAGACCAAAGGCCAGTTGGGGCGTGCTTCCCATGGGTTGAAAGCCCTTACATTGTGAGACGGTTCAGAGCACAACTTGGAATACTCTTCTGCATCCAACAGAAATGGTTCAAGGTGCTGTATAACCAGATCCAGCGGGCATCCCTCTATTTCCTTCTGACCAGGACACGATGGTAGAGTTCGATATTCGCCAATTTCATCTGAATATCCCTGCTTATAGCGCAGGCGCAATCGGTAGTTTTCAAGGGAGGAAGGTGGATCTGGTCCAATCAATTCGAGTATTACTGCACCGGCGTATGGTACTTTCTCAAATTTCAGCACTCCCATGGCACCCAAAATATAACCAACATGCGTGTCGTGGGCAGAATAAGACATAATATGCTTCGGTTGCAGGATACGTCCGTTCTTCAGTTTAACTGAACCATCACCTCCTGCTATGGTTCCAAGATGTTCAACAAAAGCTTTCAGGAACACTCCTATCTCGATCTTTATTAGTTCATTCGTGCTGTTGGACTCCAACTGCATAGTGGCGAACAAACAAGTGAAACGTGCATGAACAAGCTAGTTCTAGAACGTGTTGAGGGTTAAACTGTGCATACACACACCCTGGGTCATAAACAGATGTGACACTGCGGGGCAACGTAGATAGTTTTGTCTGGGGAGGCCGGTTTCTGGCGAACTGCTAATAAAGACCGATAATGAATGAAGTAACGGAACTCGTTTGCAGATTCTAAGCAACAGAGGTGTTCAAAGCCGAATACATATTGATGATCTTAGGTTTTTATCTGCAATTAACACTTTGGATTATCGTCTAACAATCGTATTCACGTAAATTACGAGGAGTACCTTGTCGAAAGATGACGTACTACTGATCTTAGCAGGCCCAATTGTAAAGGGCCGCAGGATTCGTAGAACTCACATCCACATCACTCTTGTCTGGACAGTCCCCTTCTTATCATTAACCCCATTATTCTCATGAGTCCACACCAAGTTGTGGAAGTACCGAACTTGATTTTTAGTCTTACTAGGGTTAATCACTAGTGCATGGCCGTGAAGAGGTTTTAGCTCTGGACTTCTGACATGAGAGCTATGCATATTACTACCGATTCACTAGCACTCGGTGGACGCATCTGATACACCACTCTGAACATATGGTGGTGTCCAATGTGATCGGTCTGCTCGACCACTCGAGCGACGGTCGGTGACTGACCTGGTTGTGTCGGTCGATTTGCTTGCCTATCAGGGCTCCTCAAACAGATGGCACCACAGAACCTTGAAGCCTGTCGAATAGTATCTGATAGGTTTTTGGTGGCTATGGGATGGTATAATTATTGTTCACACAACCACCACCGTTTGATCAGTCCCCTTCCTGTTCTGGTGAAAAACCATTCACATTGCTCAAGTGTATGCACGTTCGCTCCCTTAGATGTGGCGAACGAGCGCATGTAAAAGGCTTCCTCACATGTCAGATGCCCAGACTTCAAACTCCGGCACAGTCAGGGATATACTTTGTTGATGAACGAAACTCGAGTCGGGTGCCTTTGGGTGAACCCTCAGAATAACTGCCCTAGGACAGGATGAATATTGATCAAACGATGGCAAAGTTCAATCGGACTGCTACGTTTGGCTAACGTTAGAATTCTTAAAACGCATTAACCGTTTCCACAGTAGGAATTCTGTGGTCACTCATCAAGTGTTTAAACTGTGGCGTTGAAAAAAATTAGTTACACGAGCACTAAATATACCACTTTAAGACGGTTACACTCAGAAAAAAATATTTGTCAAGAACTTCGGTGCATTATTTGTATAACTTACCAGCCATAAATGTGTCCCCACTTCATCCAGTTCTTGAAATATTTCTTCCGTACACCAGCTTGGAAGGGATATGTTGTGAGCTCTCATGCATATGAACATGTCATTGAGTTTCCAGCTGTTGAATTGATCGATTTTCACCTTCATCTGATTGGCATTTATCAAGTCAAACAGAGACCTGTGAGCCTCGAGGAGACTGATCGCTGTTTCCGATGTCATCGCGGTATGACGTAAGGCTTCCAAGTGGCTACATGTTGATGAGCTTAACAAAGTCTCTTTGTCCTGTATGAGAATAGGACAAGTGTGCAGGAAGTTGCAACAGAATACAGAAAGTTACGTATAGTGCCCATTTAAATGAATTTGGCTTCGAAGTACCCATCTATCCAAAAATAGCAAAAGCATCAAAGTATGTGACTTTGCTTCTCGAATAAAAGCATCTGAGATCAGCCAGTATTTGCTTCTGGGAAAAGTGGACAAAGGAAAACAAAACTCTTCCTGATAAAAACGGGAAGCAGCTAACACCAACGCTTCGGTGCCAGAAAACAGATATTGTTGTTTTCAAAAACCTGTGCTGAAGAAATCAAAAAACCCTGTATTCTACAGTTTGTATAAAACATGTTGGTTCAAGACTCATAAGTGATTTTTTCGTATATTTTGGAAATAAGAATCTAATTTCCACAGTTCCTGTAGTGTTTGCTCCTCTCGAACGGATTATAATCGCTCCATTGCGATGATTCCGCTGTAGGAGCTTTTGGTTTTATTACCCATAGTTTCCCTAAGCAGTAAAAATGGATGACAAAAACCTATGTGGCCTAATCAACTAATTTTTGACACGATCTGAAAGAGGACAACATCCTCTCATTGCCTCAAAGAGCCGACAGTGAGCACAATTAAGTCCCACCTACTCGGTTCCATGGCACTCCACATATTGGTCAATGTACATGATTTTTTCCTTGGAAATCTTTGTTCCCCATTGTGTACAAACAGTATGTGGCTGCACAGTGTCTGCTTAGAGGTCAGATTTAATACGATAAACTTAGCGTAACTCGGGAGTGGGGCATCTTGAGTAGAATTATATGGCTCTGGTGATATCGGACAGACTACATGGTGAGGCTTCAAGGGTAAGCATAACTATTTGGACCCCTGAATATGCAAAAGAACCAAAGAACAGGATAGAAGCACGAAACATGAACTGCCGAAAAACTGAACACATAAATATAACCATACCATCAACCGGGTCACAGTTAACTCTAACCCATTTTAGGTAATGGGTGACTTCTAAATTGCAATCAAGCCCGTTGGTTTCCTATAAAATACAAACAATACAGTGGTACGGAACTAATTTACTGTATCATCCAAGCTTGTTTATTCTATTTATATGGCAAAAGTTCAGCGAAAATGTTTCCAATTTATACCCCTGGTTCCGTCAGCCGTCTTCAGTTTATTGCAAGCAAAGGCATTCGTGAGTAGCACATTATTAGAGCCGCAGTGCACCACGTCTGGAAGGGTAACGTTGCGTCCTATAAATTAGGTCGTTAATATTCTCCTCCCACTAGAGCGAGGAAAGTCCGTCGCTGCGAAGTAATTTATTAGCAAACACGAACTAAGCAGTAGATAGGAAAGTAAATATCTTATGTGCACATAGTCTCATGCGTCTTCTTGAACTTTTCTGGATATTCACTGACTAGTACACGATAGTAAATGAACAGTAGAAAGCGGTGCCACAATTTCTTCAGATGCGGGTGGTGCTTGGGCACCAACCATAGAAGATTTCTAAACATGTCACCTAATGCTTCTGTTACGAGGCAATGAACCTCAGATATAATAAAAGTGTATACTTTTTACGAGATACAGAACAGCATACTGTATGCACACTTAGCACTGAAAGCCCATTTGTATTTTGCATTCTGGAACATCTGAACGTGACGAGTCCAAAATACATCCTTGGATGATCCGTGAAAATGGAAGCCATCAGTAGTTTTACTCACGTGGCCGTGATGCTACCCCAAGTTCTGAGTTACTACTAGACAGCAACATTTGAGGTGTAGAGGTTGGGTTAAATTCACACACATTCTACTCAGTAAGGTCGTACCTTACACACTGAGCTATCTCAGTATCTAATGGGTATTGCCTTAAATATATAATATCTTGATAATTTCGGTTGAACCACCATAAATAGCGTGCAAAGGATCTGTCTTACTCTGGGAACGGTGTGCACGGGAATGGGTTTCCACTGGATCCCGTATGATTCCAAGGGCGATGAGTTCTGTGGATAAAGACCTGCGGCCACTGCCTGGGCAGACATGAGTGTTCTGTCATAATCAGTACTTCGTATATAAAAGTCCGAAGCATTGTACTGAGGCTTAAGGTAACAATCGTAGTGCTGACGCAACCACATTCCAAGTTTGAAGCTTTGTAAAACTCCCTTGTCAGTTAGCTGACCGCGACCAAGAGGCCATATCTCTTCAAATGGCGCAGAATCGTTTAACATTTGTTCCAGTGGAGTCCGATCACCATGGCGAAATACTAAATGTAAGTTTTGCAGTATCATTCCAGGAGGTAAGTTGTTGTCTGGACAACTTTTTCTTATGTCTTGTCGAACCATTGCTTTTGCGGATACCAGAAATGAACAAAGGATGGCTGAATATAAGGTGATAGATTTGTAGCTCATCACGTTTCTTCCAGAAATCATGGTCGAATAGGCTGGAAGAAAGTAAAGAATAAAAGGCTGGTGCAAAATGGTTATGATGATGGTTTTGTAACAAAACCTAGATTGCATCTATGTAATTAGATAATGCTACAGCACATTGAAAAATAAAATACTTGGCTCCTGTTTCATTGCATTGATTCTTTGTTCGCTGTTCAATATAACCATACCGTACTGAAGTATGGACAGTGGCGTATAGATACAGAGTGTACTCGATGTCAACCACCTGTGTAGAACGTCAGCGTAGGCGCTTCACTGATATCTAGTCTTACCCTTAAGTTTGCAAGTCTATGTAAAAAGTATAGTCGAAGTCGAAAAATTACAGAGTGGGCGTGCAAATGTGATGTCGGTGTGTGGTAACTGAGAGCATGGTTGTACATCCAACGCGGAACGCTGAGCTACCGCCAATAGGAATCATAGTGCTGAGCACATGTGAAGTTCTACGCATGATAGGAACGAAATTAGCTTAGATGATACCGGTACATTCCAAGAAGCAGAACGTACTTGTCGTGTCTTCGTAATGATCCTTCCCTTCTGAGGGAATTATTTTGGTTGATCACTCCACGTGTGTTTAAACCAGAGGTGTAAGTGCGAATCCTCATTACTACCACGATATTTTCCAGGCAAAGAATTGAATGACAAACGCGATCTTACTGAGTTACAACAGTTGGATTAGTGATTTCCACATCGATAGTCCAGAAAAGGTTAGCTTTTTTCAACAATGAATGTCTTATTTGTGGCGGATGGATTATCGTCTAGAATGCGGGGATCCACGAAGCCTTATACGGTCAAGAGGGATCAACCTCATAGTGCCTCCCTCGGGGAGAAATGGAATCCCAATACGGACCTAAATGTTACTGGATCGAAGGGTGCTGATAGACGCATCTGCTTTGGAAGGAGGCAGGAGGGAATCACGAATTAATGTCCAACTTGCGGAACAAAGTATACCAGATGCCAAGAGATGACTTACTTCTTCAGGAAGTGACTGTTTGTTCGAGCAAGCCGGGGAAAATCAGGTGTGTCTAAATAAAGTCGAGAACGTAGTAGTTGAGCAACGCTTTGCACAGAGTCTCTCATGCATGAAAGGCAATGGAAATTGTAAATTTGGAACGGGGCGGCTGTCAGTGTTTCCCAGTAAATTGTACAGGAACTGCCAAGATACTATGAATACAGAATGGGTCACACCTGAAGCTTATAAACAAGGTGTCAAATTCTTACAAAGGCTACTTGCATGATTACAAAAATTTAGTGGTCAGAGTAGGGTTTACTCCAGTCGGGCGTTTTAAGAGTTGCATTTTATTCCAATTAACCTTGAGAATCTTTGAAAGTTTTTGAAAAGTACACCTAAGTTTTCAGTTTAGAGTTTGGTTCTTTCTGGAAAAGTCAACTTATCTCTAGGAGGTGCTGCAGTTCCCGTACCTTTGCCCTTTACAGGAGTTTCGGTGGCCTCTCGAGGTGCCATTAAGACCAAACTTGAGCGCCTGACATAGTCGCACGTAATTACTATAGTAGACCCACAACCTATTGGGTCAGCTTTGATTGAACTGAAGTTGTGAAAGTTGGGATCGATCCTAAGCCAATAAAAGCCGTTTTGTGGGGCAAGTTTTATAAGATCCCCAGACTAGATGAGATGTCAGAATTAAAAGGAACATAGTTGATTACAAGGGTTGATTTTTCGTTTGCATTCGAGCACCAGATACTGAATAACAGGCCCAGCTATTTGACGACATTTGGCACTCCGTTGTGACTATTTAGATGACATCGCCTACCATTAGTTCTCATGGTACTTAATGCGATCTTGCAGAATACACCCAATCAAGTACTTGGGGGGTTATCAGGAGTGAACCGCCAAACTGATAATGTTATCACATAAAGCACAAACTCTGAAAAAGATGACAAATTTGGAGCGATTCACGGAGCGCTGTATTGAGGGACATGTAAGCCTAACGTGGCAGAAGATACAATAACGAGATGACACTGGCAAATCCTGCGAAGTTTTACTGAGAGTTGACGACCTAAAAGCAAAACCAGAAAAAATTGCAAGTATTGAGTCAACTCCATCTCTGTTGGTGCATAGGTACTTTCAGTCAGTTGACAAATGGTTGCAACCGATTGAGAGTAAATCGGTACAGTAGGGGTAGATAAACAAATAGTAGGTCTAGAGCTGATGAGAGTTTCGATCTTGACGCAAAAACTGCTTCACGTAAGATCGGTAATTTGCCGGGTCGGCCGAATTTTCAAACCAGACGGAGAACCAATCAGCAATATTTCTTTCATTTAGTACACAATATCATAGTTGAATGTCGGTTAGGTCTTTCCGATTGTGTGGCATATCAAATAACATCGTTCTTGCTACTGATAATAAACAAGTAGCACAAAATTAGCACGCTTTGTACAGTTTAGGAGCAAATCAGCTGCATCCACCCAAGTTACCAAAAGGGATTGATTACCAGGTGCATCGAGGGGATTATGGCGGTGACTCAAGTGCGATGCGGCATCCTTAAATTTTGGTGTTGTCGAGAGAAATGTTTCAAGGAACAAGGCTCGTGGTTGACGTTTGGAGCACACAAATGGACTTTAGTCCCATGCTTGTCTGAGTATCAGATTACGTAAGCGAATTGATCGTCCGTATCCATTCAATCACGATGTTTGGCAGCTGTTCGAGCCAAATTCAAGTACTGAGCCCTTTTTTACAGAGTGTCCAAACCGTTTCATAACAGAATGGTAGAAAATAGAATAGAATAGAATAGAATAGAATAGAATAGAATAGAATAGAATAGAATAGAATAGAATAGAATAGAATAGAATAGAATAGAATAGAATAGAATAGAATAGAATAGAATAGAATAGAATAGAATAGAATAGAATAGAATAGAATAGAATAGAATAGAATAGAATAGAATAGAATAGAATAGAATAGAATAGAATAGAATAGAATAGAATAGAATAGAATAGAATAGAATAGAATAGAATAGAATAGAATAGAATAGAATAGAATAGAATAGAATAGAATAGAATAGAATAGAATAGAATAGAATAGAATAGAATAGAATAGAATAGAATAGAATAGAATAGAATAGAATAGAATAGAATAGAATAGAATAGAATAGAATAGAATAGAATAGAATAGAATAGAATAGAATAGAATAGAATAGAATAGAATAGAATAGAATAGAATAGAATAGAATAGAATAGAATAGAATAGAATAGAATAGAATAGAATAGAATAGAATAGAATAGAATAGAATAGAATAGAATAGAATAGAATAGAATAGAATAGAATAGAATAGAATAGAATAGAATAGAATAGAATAGAATAGAATAGAATAGAATAGAATAGAATAGAATAGAATAGAATAGAATAGAATAGAATAGAATAGAATAGAATAGAATAGAATAGAATAGAATAGAATAGAATAGAATAGAATAGAATAGAATAGAATAGAATAGAATAGAATAGAATAGAATAGAATAGAATAGAATAGAATAGAATAGAATAGAATAGAATAGAATAGAATAGAATAGAATAGAATAGAATAGAATAGAATAGAATAGAATAGAATAGAATAGAATAGAATAGAATAGAATCTCCGTTGAACAAGCTCACTCGCAAACCAGTTTTGTTTAAGCAAGAAATCCAAGTGAGTCACAGCTTTTTCTCTAGATTGTTATGCTTCTCAACTGAATGTGCAGCAAAAAGGCTGCCTGGTGTTTCAGTTCACATTCAGTGAACTTTGCGAATTTCGTACATTTTGGGTTCAAGCAGGGCTTGAGGTCGATAGGAACTCAAGAGCTGCACCTACTTAGTGATCCCCAAGGAGGACAAAATTGGTCAGCTGAGGATTTTCTGCAAGCATGTAAGTAGTTCATCTTGAAAACGGTAATCTGATTCCTTCGAATTCTGTTAAGTGATTGGATGAAATTGATTATTCCAACTTACGTTGTTGCGCGCTAGATATTCCCGACAGTTCTTTCTGGTGTATTCTATCAAGACACACAACAGGCGAACCACTCGATTCTCCAGTACTTGTGTCTGCACTTGACGGTCTTCAAATATATAAAGTAGATTATTGCAAATTCTGAGGTTAAAATAGTGTTGTTCCACCTTCCAATGACCACCCAGTCAATAAAAATGACCAAAACAAACAATTGTATAGGAAGGTAGGTTTAAATACCTGGTCAATGAAACCAATGCCGCCTAAACGCCAAAAGGGACACACACCAAGCCAGAGTAACATGATTATTGAAAAATTTGGCTTCATGATAATTAAACTCGTGTTCTTAACTAAATCGTCCATTCACTTATCCGGATGTAACTGTTACAATCTGTTTGCAACCGGGGGTTACTCGGGGCTCCTATCAAAATTCATCAGCATACTTCGGTTGATACTGCATCCATAAATGAAGCCAGACCATGTTCAAGAGCCGAGAGGCACTGTACAGCTGTTTCATCCCTGATGTGAATTATTAGCTGTGTAGATCCCACGGATCTAATAGAGTTTCCAATCACCGAGCTTCCTGCCACTTGTTGAACGCTTAACCGCCGCAGTGTGTCTGGCTCTCACTCAGATAGCATTGCACATCTTCCAACACATTAGCGCTAGAAAGCTGGTAACCTAACATTATTGGCAATAGTGTTATCGATAATTCAAATTTCAACATATTTACCTTCCAAATGAGCTCAGACTGACTTTATAGCATCGGACGACCATGCTGTATTAGTAGGTCAAGTGTCGACGCAACCACTGTCAATTTGCGTGCACTGATAATTGAGGAAATGTGATACGACCAATTCATAACGAACATACAGGGAAAGTTGCCCATCAGAGGTTAACGCAAAGTTCCAGACAAACCATTTGTATTCTGACCGCTTCGTTTTCACAAATGGTCGCTAATTCGCGCCAATTTCGTTCAGTACGTGTGCGAGTCATTTTTGTGCATAATTCTGAATGTAACCCACATGACTGAGGGTGTCATGCTACGCTTACCGCATGGGAGAGGAAATATAAGGCGCACATTCCTTTGCTAGATTATCAAGGAATGCTTCTTACTGGCATACTAGCCAAGTTCGAGAACATAATTACGAATGGGTAATATTAAGCAATTTTACAGCACAATAAAACAATCTCTATCGCCCGCGCACTACGAGCCTACTAAGGACTAACTTTGATACATCCCGTCAGCATGAAATGGCGCCCTGTTAATTGACTTTTGGACCGCAGAGATCAGCGATACATCCACAACTTGAGAGGAAAAGTCAGTATATGTCAAGTCTCCTATTAGGACTCGATAGGATCGTAAAGTGGAGCTGAAACGGTAAACATCGATCCATAATATTTTTTATGAACGGCTAATTCTATCGACTGGTATCACGACAGATCTGCGGAGCCGTATGAAACTCGCTATTCAAATTTATCTCAAATGAATGACTCTAAACCTATATGGTTGAAGAATCGCACCGAAAACAATTTCTAGAAAATGCATCACACTGTGCCTGATAGGCTTTAGACTCAGAATTTAGCGGTGGATAATGTGGCTCACTTCAACACCGGCGAGTACAACTCATCTTGCGCAAAGATATAACAGCGTCACTTATAGAAAGACAGATATTAGTATGTCTGTATTCTGAGGGAACGCCAACATGCTTTACGGTTGACTGTGGATATCTTAGAGGTTCTGCTTGAACTGTGCTGCGACTAGTCTCCGGACGTGAATACACCATCCGAAGAAAATGGCAGATTTCTCTGCGCCGCTATTTGTCAACGAAAACAACCACAGGCAAGGCAGATGTATCTCTTAATGGAGCGTACTCTTCGTAAGGTTTTTAAAAACCTACCGAAAGCTCAAAACGTGACCCTCAATTAGAACACAAGTTTTACGAAAACTCGAGAAATGTACAAAACGCATGAGCTCCTAAATAAAGAAAGCTGTTCTCTGGTTGTCGATGAGGTTCCAAAATCCTCATGACCAGCGTGTTCAGCCGAGATATTTCAAATATCGTGCCAACTTAAACAAGAGGAATGTACAAAACGCATGAGCTCCTAAAGCAGCAAAGCTGTTCTCTGGTTGTCGATGAGGTTCCAAAATCCTCATGACCAGCGTGTTCAGCCGAGATATTTCAAATATCGTGCCAACTTAAACAAGAGGCGGTTTCTCTATAGCTCATTTAGGTGGGGAATTTCGCAAAGGAAATTTTCAGCCAAGATATAGTTGGCTATCAAGTGAACACCAGTTTGATTTACGTATAAACATATTTCACCAAATTCTAGTGGGTTAACTCAAGACTTCTCCTATCAGATTTACCCAGAAGAAAAAGCGCTAGTTCTCGACAATCTTAGTGGTTTGTGTGCCGAGTAATATGCGTTTTATTTTGTGCTCCTATGTAATCCAAGTAGTTAACGTGCAGTGCTGGAACAAATTTCCAAAGCAATTTAGAAAACGTATGTCATCAGAATGATAAAACCACATTTTTATCACATCAACGATGCACGTTATCACAATTGATCTTTTAAAATTTATAAAATGTCAAATCTGAAGATAATTACAGACAGCAAGTACGTGAGGCAACAATGAAATAAATAAAGCGGAGGGGCGTAAGCCACTACCAGGAAGAACATAGAAAATATCACTGCTGGTGTAAAACCATTCAAACTACAAACATTCGTCCCACAGTGCAAAAGAATTTAAACGCCAGTGTGAGGCTGTCCAGAGCATAGCTCAGAATACTTATCCGCATCAATCAGATAGGGCTGGAGATGTTTCAAAACCAAGTTCAGCGGGCATCCATCTGCTGCCCGTTGATCAGCACATGGCTTAATGCTCAAATATTCACCTGTCTCATCAGGATATCCTTGCTTGAAGTGTAGACGAAGGCGGTAATTTTCAGGAGAAGAAGGCTTGTCTGGTCCGAGCAATTCCAGAATTATTGCCGATGAATACGGAATTTTTCCCTTCGTTGATGCCCCAAAAGCGCCTATCAAATAACTGACATGTGTGTCATGGGCAGAATAGGCCACCGTATGCTTCAAGCCCAGCTGGCGTCCGTTTATTATAATTGGTTTATTACAAGTAGTGATGGATTTGAGGTGTTCAACGAAGGTGTTAAGATATACGCCGATTTCCATCTGGAGTAGATCCTCCGAGCTGTTAGACTGTAACTGTATAAAGGAGAACACGGTTAGGAAGAAAGATAAAAGCAGAAATTGATGTGGAAAATATGTTTCATTTTACCAATGAGACGTTTTTCGCTTCTACATAAAAGTACTTGGAGCTACGTTTCGGCCACTGAAATGGGCTTTTAACCAATACAATGCCCACTAAACACCCAGACGCCAGGAAGGTTCTGAAGCTTTGATAAATCTTCTCATCAGAGGAATTTTTTTCGAAAGCAAGCAGTGTTTCATTATCCTACTGCTATTATGCTCTAAAGTGAGTCGTTACGAACATTCCCTGGAGGGTAATTCATTTGAGGTGAATGCACCATCCCACTGAAACTCGGTCATCCGACGGATGAGGCTAGGTCTTGGTGCAAAAAATAATCCCACTACTGACTGATATTTCATCCTGGATGACCCGGTTGATGGCTGTGGTGGGGCCTTCGCATGTGTACCCCCTAATCTTACTCACCCCAAGTCCGTTTCCCCATCATCGCCTTGAACGTAGCATCACAATCTGCGCTGGGTGAAGCGCAATCGGCAGGCGTTCAGTGAATCAACCTGCATTTACACAGCAGATCCGTTCCGGATACCAGCCAATCCTGATAAAAGCATACTTTATCGCAACAACCCCCAAAATATGATATTTGTGAAACTTTTCATATCACTCTAACGTACATGAAATCACGCCCCAATGAGCACGCCCAAACTGCGCCATTGGTGGCTTTCGAATGTTCCATGCCACTTTTGAGTAAGCCACGTTTGACAAGGAAGAATAGTTTCCGAAGCCAACTTACCAACCAAAAGAATTTAGAAACTTCTTCGATTTCTTGGAAAATTTCTTCTGTACACCAACTAGGAAGTGCCATCTTGTGGGCTCTCATGCATACAAACTGATCAGAAAGCTTCCAAATATTAAACCGATCAATTTTTTCTGTCACTGATTGCTTGTTGATTAGATCAAATAGTGCTTTGTGGGACTCAGCATATTCGTCTGCTTTTTTGGAAGTCATTTCTTCTTTCCGCAGCAATTCTAAACGATGGCAGAAGGATAGGCTGAGAAGAGTTTCTCTGTCCTGCGAAAAATTGGGGGGAAATTACAGCAGGAGTTTGAGCTAAAAATGCATGATATCGACATTAAACATAAGAAGCATCAACTTTCGAAACCATTACTTTACGTGATCAATCCAGGGAAAAACAGTTAGTCCTAATAAATGTTTTTATCACCAAAAGCATGTTCTTTTACCTGGAAAAGGTAATCGGCCTTTGCTATAAGCGTACTCTATGGTAATATGAGGTGATTTGGTAATTCTCAATTGATACTGACAATCGTCCGTCCCGGCGCCGGTCAATAAGTGACCACGTGATGTGGTTTCTGTAACTTGAATAGTGAGTAGGACTATACCCTATTTGAGGGCTGATTACAGTGCTGTCAGTGTCTCATGGCTAGATTGTTTGGTTTTGGCCGGTCAATAGTGACCACGTGATGTGGTTTCTGTAACTTGAATAGTGAGTAGGACTATACCCTATTTGAGGGCTGATTACAGTGCTGTCAGTGTCTCATGGCTAGATTGTTTGGTTTTGAACTATTGACCGGGAGGTCACGGGTTCAAAACGTCTTGAGGCCAGCATAGTGCTTCTCAACTTTTCACCATAGATTGGCTTCACTGACGAAACGAATTTTAAAAGGATAACAGCGTGCCACGGCCACGGGAATAATAACACAGGCAGGAAGTGAATGAAAGGAAAAAGATGCCAGTGTACATCAAATTTTTGTTGGTTATAAATAATACCCGGTGCCGTTTTGTGGTGAACATGCTAATCCAGCGTCGCTACTATGGAAAGGAAGAAGGCCTTCGCTGCGGAGTTATTTATTAGAAAATGCTAAATGACCAGTTACAGACTATTGGACAGGAAAGCGAAATTCTTATTTGCATCTTATTTACAAAAACTGAAAATCCATCTTCACGTGAATGTGTCTTCTTGAACTTTCCTGGATATTCATTGACCCAAATCATCGATTGCTCAACTCCAAGCAAATGCTACTAAGCGACTCCACGAATTCCGCAACAGACCTTCCTTTTCAAGAGACGCAAAGCGAAATTACAAGAAGGAAACCTACTACTCGCATGCCTCCTCATCAGTAGTATCACCCGTTACCCTCAAGCCTTCCGGACCATAGACGTTTGAGTTAAACCTCATAACTAACACACCATTGAACTACGTTGGAATATGATAAATCAGTGTCTGCGCAGGGAACAAAGGTTTGGGAATGTATTCATGAAATTGCACAACCAGACTATTCACTTGGCTTAACCTGATGACTTAATGTGATGAAAATTCCTTAGTGTTTTCGATACTAGTCCGGTTTCACCAGACCGGTTTCTCCACCGATAAACCATCGGTTACCGAGCGTTTAGTCAATACATTTGCTCAATTCGCGGCCGGTTGCAATTTGTGCTGCGTAATAATTAACTCGTGTCTACCGCATTGGACTTCAGTGAGAAAGCATGAAATGGCCTACTTGAGTTGCAAACTTTTACTGGGGTTTTCTTGAAACAACTGAATTATGGGATCTCTCGCATTAAACTAGTTCATTTTTGAACAAGATTACCTAATTTTCAACACAAAAAAGAAACGGCAGGTAATGTTTATAAACTAGGATCTTTTCATTTGACTTTCGACGACAAGTTTTTTGCCCTTTGCACAATTTTCCACCGGATAATTTAAAGTCACCTGGACGTTACATCCATGTTGGTCCGAGGTTGCATCACAAGAGCATTGCTTATCGAAAATCGGCTAATCTGACTAGAACTACTTGCCAGTATGCGTTTTGTGTTGAGTTACTTTTCGTGAACACACCACGTTAAGGTTTGATTTCACTAATACAAATGAGGTTAGTGCCAATGACAACATAGAGTAGAAAATGAAGGGCACTAGCTACTCATACGACAACGGCAAACCTGTTCTTTGTGCATATTGCTCGGCAGTTGAAATTACCGTAAAAGAGAGACCTTATAAATGACTGCGTTTAATGAAAGAACTATATTAAATTGAATTAACCAACCTTGAGTCACGGGGCATTTACTATCCACACAAATTTGTCAGAATCGAAGAAGAGGAAAAATGAACATCCTCTGTATGTATCAGTCATTACATAAGCAAAAAACTGGATGTGTAATAATGTGTGTAAAGCAGCTCAGGAAAATTCGTTGCACAGTTATAATTTAACCTACCCTCCGTACAGTGTGCACAGGAATCGGCGTCCACGCGATTCCGTAAGATTTTAGTGGAGAAGTAATGTCCTGATAGAGTCCTGCAGCCACCGCCTGAGCAGACATGAGTGTCCTGTCATAATCAGTGCTTCGCAAATAGAAATTTGAAGCGTTGTATTTTTTATGTATAAAACCGTCGTATTTCTGGCGCAACCACATTCCAAGCTTGAATTCTTGCAGCACACCTTCCTCAGTCAGCTGACCACGACCAAGTGGCCAAGTCTCCTCGAAAGGCCTGGTATCTTTCAACATCGGTCCTAATGCGGTGCGATCACCATGGCGGAATAAGATATGTAGGTTTTGTAGTTTCAGGCCATTGGGTAAAGCGTCACTCGAGCTCTGAACATCAGATTTGCGTAACCCTCCGGCTGGCAGTGATTCCACAGGTGAATGTTGAACAAGGAAGTAAAATGCTAGACATGCAACTGCCCATGGGACCCGCTCAGAGCGTAACATTTATGAACTAGTAGTTTGCTGAAAAGAGAAAGGATCACAGGTAGCATAATAGAAGTGAAAATTTTCGCCAACTAGGTTTTTGTTAACCCACACAAACCTCGGGATTCGCAATAAATGTAGCATGAAGTAGCGATACGACCAACTGAAGAACGAAACCTTTGACATTAACGCAAGCTGCAATGCTGAACAAACAAGATGTTAACTTCTCTATTTCTATCCAAGAGCGCCCAAGGATAAATAACTGGTAATGAAAAAGTTAAGCTATACTTATATAATGATGATGCTCCGCAACACACCTCGTGATTCGCTGTCTGCTGGTGCAAAAATAGGGAAAACCAACTGGCCAATCCGAACAAAGGTGTACTGGAAAGATTGGTGTTGTGAATGTCTCCTCCACTGAGTAATAAGAACCATCTTCTGGACTCACTATAGGGTCTAATAATGGTCTGCAAGTGATCTGCTGAGAGTGTGCTAAGAAAATATTTCGCCAGTTTGAAGATATGTTGTCAAAGAAACGATTACATCCAACGGGTTGAGACTTATCGGTTGTGGTGAAGACTGTCCTCTCCCGGCACACCTCGGTCACTCAGCGAGTAGACTCTCACAAGATTACTAAAAACTCTTCGACAGCCCACGACCGGTTTCGCCCTTCTTGGGGCTCATCAGTTAGACACAGTCCCAGAATTTCCGTCAACCCCATGTTCCACTTCAACCCAAAATGCACTGTTTTCGAGAAATA